GTAGTGAAGGAAAATCAAATTCACCTAAAAATTCTCCAGTTTGTCCAGTAAAACCAACACCTGCACCTGTATGTAGATATTTTATTTTTATTTTATTAAATTTATTATAGAAAAAATTTTATATAGAAAAAAATAAAAAGATAATTAAATATGTAGGATCATGCTGTGCCACCTCCTCCACCACCTCCTCCACAGATTTCTAATGAAAAATCAATTCCAAATGAAAACAAAAATTTTGAATCAAATAAAAAACAAGGTAAATATACATATAATAATATATAATTTGATATTTTTTGTTTATATTTAATTTTAATTTTTTATATATAATAGTTGTAGGAAGTCAAATAAAAACACAACAGGTAAAAGTAGCATCTGAAATTAAACGCATTCGTGTTGCTCCACCTAAACCTGGACATCTTTATCCTAATCTTTCTGAAATTGAAAATACAACAGAAACAGATACAGAATATACTGTCAATAGTACAGAAGCAGAAACTGCTACTTTAGATGAAAAAACTGATACAGAAACTGGAACAGAGGCTGAATATTATATACATGTATGAATGACTGATAATAAAAGATAAATGATATAATATTAAAAAATTATATTTTATATGATTTTTATAGCTGTTTACATTGAATTTGCAGGATAATGGAATTGAAACTGAAAGTGAAGAAGAAAGTGAAGATGTGAATACTAGTCTTGGTAGAAGTATTTTACGTGCTGTAAATGAACAGTCTTTTCTAAGCAAAAAAGTATATATAATATATCTCAATTTAATAATTATATATAAGAATTTTAGATTTTTGATTTTTGCAACATTTAAAAAATAATTGATTATCAAAGATGAATTGTCAAAAATAGTCAATATAATAAAAATATAAAATATATAATATAAAATATAAAATATAAAAAATACGGGAAATATAATTTTGACGCAGCAGTATCAACTGCAATAAAATATCTTACTTTCTTTCTACAATTATGCCATTTATAATCTAATATATACTTTATTTAATATTATAATTATATTATATATTATATATTACTATATATTAATATATTTATATTATATTTCATAATAATATATATATTGTACATATAATGTGTATATATAATATTTTAATTATTATAGAGATCAATTGATCCAGATCCAGATAGTACAACTTCCGATATTTCAGTATTAGATGAAATGGACGAATATTTAGATGAATGTCTTGCACAACAAGAAATACATAGTGGAAATATTTATACAGAAGAAGGACCAACTCCTCCAAAATTAAATAAAGGTGGTAAGAGTCCATCAGCAACTTCAAATTTCAAATATAGAGAAGGGTAAGTTACAAAAACATAAAAATTAAATATCAATATAATTTTAATGCTTATAAATTTAATAATTGTAATAATTATAATAATTATTTTTTATTTTTTAAGATTATCATATCGTTCACCTATGAAAGAAATCTCTTCATCATCTCCTAAAAAAGATGAACCATATATTGTAGATGGTGAAAATTGTGTACCGTTAATGCATAGTGTCAGTTTTTATAGACGACAACAATCTCAAGTGAGTTAAGTAAAAATATGTATTAATTTCTAAAATTAAAATTAAATTTTTTAAATTTGAAATTTAAACTTAAAATTAAATTGATTTTAGACGCCAAAAACACCAGTACGTATAATATCAAGAACACAAGAATCTACTGATACTTATGCTGATGTACAATTTAATGCTAAAAATGAAATAGTTTTGGTAGAAGAAAAAATAAAACGATTGTTAGATGAAGTATGCAAACAACAAACGATTATTGGTCAAGCTAGTCAAGCACTAAATTTATGTACTTCTACTGTAGAATTTAATGGTTCCAGGGAACAAGTTGAAGGAGAAAGATTATTACTTGTTGCCAGTAATTTTATATATATTTTTATATTAAAAATATTCACGAGTTATATAATAATTAAAAACATTTTCTAATAGCTCATAGACGGCAAGCTGCACTAAATGAAGTTCAACGATTAAAGGTAGAAGGTACCTTAAAACCTGTTAGTCCAGGATCACCAGAAGTACAAGAAAGTGGTTCTCTAACAGTTTCTGCGATTACTTTACCTTTTAAAAAAGGTTATTTTCGTAATATGGGCACAAGTAAGTAAAATATTTATAGATAATATTAAAGATAATATTTAAATTTTTAAAATTTATTTTTTTTAATTTTAAATTCTAGATACATGTCTTCATTTTGTTTGTATAATGCGACATTTAGAAGAAATAGTTGCTACACCAGTAGTTATAGTAGAACCTGGTGATTCATGTCTTCGATTTCCATCAACATTAAAATTAAATGATTTATACAGTGATTTTAAAATTACTGTTGAAATATATTCGTTGCAAACACAACCTGAAATGTTACCACATGAAATCAAATATCATATTAATAATGGTAATGGAAGTAGTATTAATAGCAATAATTGTAATAAAAAGGTAAATTCATAATAATCATATAATAATTTATATCATATAATTACACATTTTTATTAAATATTTATAAATATTTTGCAGTTGGCGAATAAAACACCAAAAAAATTTTTAAAACAAGAAAGTCGATTGGTGATGCCTAGTGTGCAAAGTCCAGCTGGACCATCTGCTGTTAGATCTCCAGCTTTTCAATTATCTGGTTATGTTATTTTTAGTTTGAAAGAGATACATCGACAACAATTCACGCTTAATAAGGTAAATATGATATTATAAATATGCAAACAAAATGATATGAATATATTGATTGATAAAGATTAAAAAGATTATACATAAAAATTTATAGGTACCACCGCAATCCCCACTGGAAGGTCGATTACAAATGCATGTTTCATGTGAACTTTCAGTAGCAGTTGAACATAGAGGATTTCTTACAATGTTTGAAGATATATCTGGTTTTGGTGCTTGGCATCGTAGATGGTGTTTACTCAAAGGTTCTACTTTATCATATTGGAAATATCCTGATGATGAGCGAAAAAAGACTCCAATTGGAAGCTTAGATTTACAAGGTAATTATTTATAATTTTAATATGATATTTTGTTATGATTTAAAATATAACTTATTATTACATTTATAGGTGTTAATACAACAAATGTTGGATTAGTTTCTCGTGATATTTGTGCGCGTCCTAATACCTTTTTACTTGAAACAATTAGAATTGCAGAATCTGAAGATACTGATAGTTTGATTATGGTCAAAAATGGATCAACTACAACAATTAGGTAAGTATTCTATTGAAAATTTTATTTCATTATAAAATTAATTGATCTTGAATTACTTTTAGGCATCTTTTATCAGCTGATACAAAAGAAGATAGATTAGAATGGTGTTCTAAACTTAATAAAACGTTAAATTTGATACATGCTTGGGGTGGACCATCAACATTATCATAATAATTTCTATAAAAATTCTAATTTTTATTTCATAATAAAAAAAAAAAGAAATCTTAGCGTATTGAAGTACGCTTATTATTAATTTAATGCGTGTATGCATTTATATATAATGTATACTTATGTATACTAAATAATGCAATTAAATTTTAATTGAAAATAGTTTATCTATATTTAAAATTTATATATTATAAATATGATAAATCATGGAAAAAAATATTTTGCTAAAAATTAATAATATTAATTGTTTGTAATAGTTATTTTTTATTGTGAATATAACACAATTTCAATATATAACTATTAACGAATAATTATATTTTAGATTTTAATTGAATTAAAATGCTTCTAATAAAAATAAATATATATAAAAGAAGCATTTTTTTTGTAAGGAGAGAAAGAGAGAAAAAGATTCAATATTACGATATAATTGATAAGAGATTACGATATAAAATTGATAAGAGATTTTACATAATTTTAAGATGCAAAACAAAAAAAATATATATATAAGTTTGAATTATTACAATTTTAAAATGATTATTTGAATTATGTAAAATTTAAAATATTTATAAATTTAATGCATTCTAATGAATTAATGTAATTATAATATGAATATGATCAGAATTTTTGTAGGTTATTTGAATATTTTGAAAATTTTAATTATTTGCTTTATAATTAAAATATTAAATACTATTAATAATAGTATTAAAATGATGTAATTGTTATATTGTAAATAGCAAAATCACAGTATATTAAAATCGTTACTAACAAATATATAGCCAACAAATACATTTATACAAGTATTTTTTTGCTGTAAAAGTTAGTATTGCTTAAAAATCATAAATTTTATCTAACAAATTTTTATATTTTTTACTTTTCTATATAAAAATTTTATTTTATAGTGTCAACATTAAACATTTAAAATAAAAAAAAATCAATAAATTATTTTTCCAATATTTTTATTTATCAATTCTCAAAATTTATTTATGAAAAAAAAAATTGTTTTGAATAAAATTGTTTTTGTTACATATCCATATTTATGTAGGAAGATTATTATGCATATGCTAATTTGTATATATATTTATTTGCTGAATTCATATCTTGTTACATACATACAATAGAATTATAAAAAAAATTACTCATTTTTATGCAAATTCTAAAATGCGTAAATGAGTGCTTCGTCGTCGCTTCATTAAAAATGGATCGTGATTGAAATTTCTAGCGCTTCGTTTAATATATTTAGTAGTTTCTCAGAACTATATGTGAAATAATTTGTTTATTTACTGGCACACATTTCACAAGAAGTATAGTGTCATAATTATTTATATTATATATAAATAAATATTTATTAATATTTCTTCATTTATTATCTTTTTTTATCTTAAAGATTTTAAAGATTATTTTTTATTTATTTTAAATTAAACATTTTAATAAATATTTTTTTATTTTAATTATATATTTTTCATTTAATTTTTCTATAATATCTTCATTCTATTGAATCTTTTGTCAAAAAATGTATAAAATCTATTGATAATTTATTTTTTAAATTTAATCTTTAGTTTAAATATTTAGTACATTTGATTATCGATCGATTATTTTATTTTGTACATTCTTTTTATTTATTAACATTATTATTTTCACATTGCAAATTTAACGTTCATAGAAATAAACATGATTGTTTGAATATATAAAAATGAACAAAAGAAATTAATTGCACGAATAATATCATAGAAAATGATCATGCATATTAAGTGAAGTGAATAGCGTACCATACGATTTAAACATATACGATACACTTATATTAGCGTATATCGATAGTTAGAAAGTCCTATATAAAGTTAGCGCATAATTTCAGATCTTACATTTTTTTTATTTCGAAACAAGATTGATGGTGGGATGAAATCCATCCTTGTCAGCGGTGTAATCAACCCTTTAATCAAATAATCAATTTTTGACATGTCTTTAGTGATTTGGCTTATATGATAAGAAGAAAATATTTAATATTTTCTATATCTTCTTATTTAATATTTTTAATGAGTAAATTTAACCTCAATTAATATTTTAATTTTCAATATTTTACCTGTAAGTATGACCATCGGGTGCTGTAAAGGAGAAACTACCAATAACATCGAGGGATTCATCATCAGTACCCTCATTTTTTAATTCTGCAGTTTCTTCCCTTTTTTGACCATCGCTCTGTTCATAACTAAAGTGATATCCACCTACTCCAATGTTGTTTTGTTCTTCCTGCTTTATTATCGTGATTTCATTTGGATTAACTTGAGGGGCTGCAAAAGCTCCCACTATTACTGTCACGAAGATAAGGATCTGTATATAAAGAAAGATTAATTATTTTATAATGATTTGTTGAACTGTTTTTAATTTCTATTTTGGGGAAGTATTAAATTTTTGTTAGTATTATTATATTTCTATAACTTTATATTATTTATAAGTATAATTTTAAAATTTAAGTTCCATTTTTTTCAGGTCGAAAATAATTAATTATATTATTTTGATATAATTACACATTTAAAAATATATATTGTAAATATCTTGCAATTCAATTATTTTACATTTTTAAAATATAAATTTCAAAACTCAGCAAATTTATTCAATTCCAGGTTCATCATCATTATTGAAGACGTCTCAATTTTATTATATAACTAGAATTTTTTATTTCATATTGGAATTCAGATTTTTCGAATGAATTATTTGATATTCGAACGATTCAAAATATAGAGACAAATCCTTCAGAGTTTAATGTTCGAAGATGTTCTTACTATTTACAACGCAATTTATAAATTATTATAAATTATTATGGTCATATTACCTTAACGCACACATACAGTCAAAAAATATAAGATTATATGTCACAATATAAAAATTCATCAATTTTAACGACGAAACATATAATGATTTAATTCGAATCTCCATTTTTTATACAAGATTCGCAATGGACCGATATCGTCGCGCAGCGAAATTATGATTAATCATCAGTGCGTGAAACATCGTACACGCACAAATGTCACAGTCCTCTTCACTTTCACTGTTACGTAAAAAAAAATTTCGGAGTCTGCGGCTGAAATCATCGGTGATTCCTATCTGTGCGAGAAAATGTGGAACGTTCACGCGACGCCTAATGTTATGATTTCTTCTTTTTTTAGATTTGACTGTGAAACCCACCGTCTTCATGGCAAAAACTTCTTCGTGCGAATTGGACTTCTGTCCCTTCGTCCTTAAACGACGAGTGATACGTGACACCAAGGATCCACGGTGCATCTGCCTTTATATAGTCGGAAAATCGCGGGTGTTGCATCCCCACCTGGTATTAGACTTGTCGGAGATTCGCGGATCGGTCTCTCCCCTAACAGTGCTAGAACGCATCCGCGATGCAACGATGCAAGTATCTCTTCTTCGGAAGAACATTTGCATTCTTTGCCTGATGCTATTTGTCTTTAATACTGTCGATACATATTTATACCTTAAGAAAGTTGACAGTTTCAATAAAAGTTTCAAATAAAATTTAGGAGTTAAAATGCATATAG